TTATTTTGTTATTAGGAGTGGCCACTACTTCCTCCATGAATTCTTCCAAGGTTAGGGGTGAATTTCGAAGGTTCATATCTGCATCTGTGAGATGGGGCAAATGTAAAGATGTAATAAAATTCTTAAGTTTTGTAGGTGTACAGTGTACTTTTGATTTTTTTAAAGGTTTTGGTAAAAAAAATGGAAAGTTGTCTGAATATCTAGGGGGTTATGGGAAATTGTGCCCTTTGATATCAAGATAGCACTAACAAAAAATGTAAGCATTTGGAAATTAGTGAGGACCTTTAATAGGTGGTCAGTGTTTTCCCTTTCTTTATAACAGCTATGTAAAAATGTACATTTTTCAACTTGTTTTTCAACAAGTTTCTGTGCCTCTTTCCAATTGAAAGAATTAGCTGAAGAAGGATCAGCTATATAATTAGATTTCACTCTCAGCACCTTGTCCACCAAAGATCTCTCCCACTCTCCCTAAGAATGCCTCACAAGCATGCTTTCATTGTAACACATTCCAGCAGAGGGGATGAAGAGGCTTTGCTCTATAAAATCCTGGGAAGAGATTATGTTTACTCAGGTAGGGTTGACAAGGGCTGCTTAGAAGTACAGGTATGAGACTGACTTCTAGGAGTGAAGGGGCTTTAGCTTTAAAGGGGATTTAGTTTATATGCGGAAAAACACCAAATCTATTCTGGAAAGAAGAGAAAGTACTAGCACAACAAGAATACTATCTCTCACAGTGTTGTAGTCTCCAAATATCTAATAGCCCTAATTCCCTTTAGTGTTTAGCAAAGGTCGTCTCAGATTGACCCTTAAAATCTCTCCACAGCACCATGTATCATAATATTGTAGCACTACCTTGTGTGTTGTGGGTATCCCTAAGCTTCCCTCTGCACTGCCAGGCAACTGGTATTTTCACACAGACTTGCATCCAGAGACAGTGACCAGTCCATGAACTTATTTTTGTTGTTTTATGTAGGGAAATTCAGCTTGGATAGGGAAATAGGAATGATGGGATACCCAATTCAACTTGAAATAATGGAAGGGGGACACTTCATTTCTATGTGCAAAACAGATCCTGAACTGTTCTTTTCCTGCCATATGTCGTTGCAGATCAGTAGCCTTACGGGCAAGGAACTAGCAGCCCCTCAAAAATCATTTAGAATACTGTAGCTACATGCAGAGATGGTCTTCTCTCCCCCTACGGAGCTACATCCAGCTTCCTGTCCTACAGAAAACTACCAGCCCTCCTGGCTTCTCGGAAGATCTCCTGGATCAAGGATAAAAATATTTAGCTCAATGCTGTCCTTGGAAAGCTTGCTATGTGTGGCAATCTTTCCCCTTGTAGATCCCAAAGTGTGCTGCTGTACTCAGACTGTCCTCTTTGCTCCCTGCTGCTCCAGGCCTGATCCCATCCATGCCTCTCCACAGAATGTATCCTTCTGCTGGTTCCTGCTGCCCAGCCTAGAGACCGCTCCCCCAGACCTAGGGGACCCCTCTTAGACTCCAACTGTCTCCCCAGCACTCCATCTTCTACCCGACTCTCCTGTCAGCTTGACTCTCCCATATTTATAGGCCATTCCACCACTCTACCAGAACATCCAAACCTGGTATTGACCCCTCATGAATATGCAGATTCGGCCTCCACCCCTCCTACTTACCGACCTCTGGAAGGTTCTATGGTCCTCCAGAGCCAGGAGGAGGCAATAGAGCCACAACCTGTGGAGTCGTCCAGCTGACCTGAAATAACCCAACCTTAATCACATGACCCACACAATGATTTTACCTATAATTCACTACAGTATACTAGTAGCACACTAAAGGGTGCTACATTATTAAAGTCTCCAACTGCTAGCAGAGTTACTCCTGGATGGTCAATGGAGAACCGCACCAACCTCACTATATTTGAATCACTATACTATTAACCTCCCTTGAGGTCTGATTATATCCATATTTCTGTGCTCAAAGCGGTACATGATTTTGCATGGAAATATTGCATTTTTTTAGTGTCTGTCATTTGGAGTCATTTAATAACATTATTATAGAAAATTGGATTTTGTATTATTTTGAGAGTTTTATACATTGGAGCGCGGTACAGTATTGACATTTAATTGTAGGCCTGTAATTTTTAGGAATAACTCACTGAAATCTGTCCGAGCAAGAGTCTAGTAAACATCCCGGGTATATTAATATTTGAAACATGAAATCATAAATTGTAATTTAATAAATAATCATAAAAAATAATAATATAATAATAATAAATTTAATTAAATAATATAATCAAACCAAAAACACAGAAATTTGAAATATATCGCCAATTTCGCACATCACTGAGCAAAGTCGCAAAATCGTTTTCAGTGTCTGATGACGAATTTCCCCACGAATCATTATCACTCAATTCTGCAAGTGGTTCTAATTTACTATCGCTGTTCTCTAGCTGGTCTAAAACCTCTTTTGACCTAAAGGGACGCTTTTTGGACGCCATGGACGTTTCTCAGTTTCCAGGCAGAAAGAACAGTAAAAATGTAGGCAGGGCACAGGACAAAGCACTCGGGACAAAATGTATGTGAAATGGTTTGATACAGTAATGTTTTACTATGTGATTTTAGTGAATTTAGTGAATGTCACTTTTACAACTTTCAAATTTCTGCCAGTTCTGTCCCCCGTACGTCCCGACGTCGCAGGGAACGGAACCCAGAAGACAAATGCCAGCATCCGCCGGAGGGCATTGCCAGGGACACTTCAGGAGGGAGATCGCGGGATCGCAGGACAAGGCAAGTCTTGCAGAGCATTCCACCATGCAGCCTGGACTGCACGGACTGCACTTTGGACTGAGCAGCCCAAAGCCCGGGGACCCTTTCCTCAGAGCCCAGTGACAGAATGCCAGGGCCTGTTGGAAGAGCGACCTTTTGCGACCCTGGTAGTTTTGCCACAAGTAGTAGTTTTTTCTTAAATTTTTTACAATTTTATATTTTATTATTTTTTTTACATTTTTTTGTAGGAGAAAAAAAGAAAGGAGATAAACAGGTGACAGATGGAGAGAAAGAAAGAGAGAAAGAAAAAGAAGAATGGACAGAAACAGGAGACAGAGAGAGAAAGTAAGAAGTATAAAAAAGAAAGACAGAAAGAGCGAAAGAAAAAAAATGAAAGAAAGAAAGAAGAGAAACAGAGAGAGAAAGAAATGAGAGAAACAGGAGACAGAGCGAGAGATAGAAAGAAAGGAAAGAAGCAGGAGACAGAAAGAAAGAAAAAAGAAAAGGAGAGAAAGAAAGAAAGAAAGAAAGAAAGAAAGAAAGAAAGAAAGAAAGAAAGAAGAGAAACAGGAGGCAGAGAGAGAGAAAGAAAAAAGGAGAGAAACAGGAGTCCGAGAGAGAGAGAAAGAAAGAAAGAAAGAAAAAAAGAAAGAAAGAAAGAAAGAAAAAGAGAAGTATAAAAAAGAAATAAAAGAAAGAAAAAAAAGAGAGAAAAAAATGAAAGAAATGGGAGACAGAGAGTGAGACAAAAAGAAAGAAAGGAGAGAAACAGGAGACAGAGAGAAAGAAAGAAAGTAAGAAAGAAAGAGAAAGGAAAAGAAAAAAAAGAGAGAAAGAAGGAGAGAGAAAGGAGAAAAACAGGAGAAAGAAAGAAAGAAAGAAAGTAAGAAAGAAAGAAAGAAAGGAGAGAAACAAGAGACAGAGGAGAAAAAAAAGGAGAGAAACAAGAAACAGAGAGAGAGAGAGAGAGAGAGAGAGAGAGAGAGAGAAAGAGAGAAGTATAAAAAAGAAGGAAAAAAAGATAAAAAAATTAGAGAAACAGGAGACAGAGAAAGAGAGAAAAGAAAGGAGAGAAACAGGAGACAGAGAGAGAAAGAGAGAAATAGGAGACAGAGATAGAAAGAAAGGAGAGAAACAAGAAAGAAAAAGAAAGAAAGAAAAGAAAGAAAGAAAAAGAAAGAAAGAGAGAGAAAAAAGAAAAGGAAAAAAATGGGAGACAGAGAGAGAGAGAAAAAGAGTGGAGAGAAACAGGAGACATAGAGAGAGAAAGAAAGAAAAAAAAATAAAGATAAACAGGAGACAGAGAGAAAGAGAGGAAGGGAGGAGAGAAGACACAAGGCTGGAGGGGAGTGTGGGTGGGGCAGACACAGGAGGAGAGGGCAGGAGGAGTCGAGCAGCTTTGTCTCTCCTCTCCAGTCTGTGTGGGGAGGGACTGTCAGCACTGGGAACTGAATATGTTGACAGATCCCCCTCAGCGCTGGAGGAGATGGGAGGGGGGGGGGGGTGGCCACGGGGCAGCATACAGGAGCCGACCACATACAGAAGATTGACAGAGGTGACTGGGCGGCACATAGAGGAACCGAGAAATGCATGGCTGGGTTCCTCTATGTGCCGCCGGGCCGCCACTCCTACCACAGGGCCCCCGGCCCATTGGGCAAATGCCCGGGCTATCATCATGACATTCCTCAACCTTGATAAGCTCTGGCTCACCCTGGTACTAAGCTCCCTATCTCTTTGCACCTTTTATGCTGAGGTTGAACATTTCAGTTGATTACACAGCTAATTCATTTATTTTGCATTTGTAATAACAGTAGAGTCCAATACAAAATGTTTGCCTTCTTCACATTAGTAAAATTCAGCATTTTAGCATGCAAGCCATTGTCTATGAGAGCTTTGAAAGGGGGCGGTGTGATGTGTATTTACATTTTTTTCTTTTTTTTTAACTTAATTTGAAATGTCATAGAGTGGCACTTTATCCACTTGCCTACAGGGCACTTATACCCCCTTCCTGCCCAGGCCAATTTCCAGCTTTCAGCGCTGTCACACTTTGAATGACAATTGCGCGGTCATGCAACACTGTACCCATATGAAATTTTTATCATTTTTTTGAGACAGAGCTTTCTTTTGGTGGTAGTTTTTGTTATAACATTTTGTAAATAAGTGATTTTTCTTCACTGATGTGCGCTAATGAGGCTGCAGTGATGGGCACTGATAGGCTGCACTGATGGACAGTGATAGGTGGCACTGATGGGAACTGATGAGGAGGCACTGGTAGGTTGCACTGATGGCATTGACAGGCATCACTGATGGGCACTGAAAGGCAGCACTGATACATGACACTGATACATGACGCTGATATATGGCATTGATAAGCGGCACTGATAGGCAGCACTGACTGGCACTGATAGGCGGCACTGTTAGGCAGCACTGACTGGCACTGTTAGGCGGCATTAACTGGCACTGACAGGCGGCACTGACTGGCACTGATAGGCGGCACTGACTGGCACTGATAGGTGACACTGACTGGCACTGATTGGCAGCACTGATAGGTGGCACTGATTGGCATTGATAGGTGGCACTGACTGGCACTGATGGGTGACATTGAAAAGCAGCTCAGATGGGCACTGATATGTGGCATTGATGTGCACTGGTATGCACTGATATGTGGCATTGGTGTGGCACTGATAGGCACTGGCACGTGGCACTGATTAGCACTGACAGGTGGCATTGCTGGGGCCACACTGATCATCAGGGCACACTGATCATCGGTGCCCTGATGATCAGTATACATGTCCCCTCCGTGGAAAGCCGATTACCGGCTCTCCTCTCGAGCTGTCAGCGTGACAGCTCGAGAGGAGAGAAATGCAGATAACCGGTATTTCCGTGTTTACATGTGATCAGCTGTGATTGGACACAGCTGATCACATGACTGAGCCGACATCTTCGGCTCTTTCCATGATCCGCTGTGTCCGAGGGACACAGTCATATGACGTCCTATTAGAACGAGAGAACCACCTTGCGCCCATCATTGTACTATAGGGCGGGCGGAAGGTGGTTATTCATGTCTTTAGATTGCAGTGCTGTAACTTGCAGTGTCATCTGGTTTGCTGTGGAAAAATTCAGCTTGTACAGTGAGGAGCGAGTTTCTTCTCCTCACTGCACATCTCACTAGGGTTGTGGTGTGAACAGAGCACATAGAAAACAACTCATATCTATATGCCCTGGTGGGGACAGGTGTTTATTCGCAGCAGGAAAATTCCAATCACCTCACATGGTATGAAGAAATCCTCAGTCATATGCTGTACGTTCTGTATATACCGTATACTATGCTGTATACTTTGCTTGGTGCAGTCACAGGTGTGGAGATTTTTATTTCATCACACTTATTAGTCATTATCGCAACACCAGGGACCTGAGAAAAAGCTGTTACTAGATGACAGAATGTTTTACATACTTTTTTAGGTAGAAATTGCTTATTTAATGGACACAATATGTTATTTTTTTCATGCTAATGTAAGCCACACAGAGATGACCTAGAATCTGCCATGACTGTTTCACAATCTAAATTGAGAAGGTGAGAGATTCCCTAAAGATCCATCTTCCTACACAAGAAGTGCTGCACAGAATAAAACCTTTAGTTTTGGATGGAAGTCGGATGGAAATACCACATATACAGTTGTGTCCAAAATTATTCAACCCCCAATGCTGTAAAGGGGTTTAGGGGACTATAGTGTACATTTGGAATTGTATTCAGAATCAAATCCTACAAGGACGTTGTATATACCCAAATGCAACTAAAATGACATCAATTGTTTATGTAATACAGTAGTAAATGGTTCTTATGTGGTTTCTTCATTGCCACAAATTATTCAACCCCTTAAAGACTACCACTCTGAAGAACAGAGGTTCATACAGGTGCTTTCCATCAGGTATTGAAAACACCTGTGGATGTCACCGAGCAGCAATCAAGCATAATAAGCACCAATTAGGCAGCTTTAAAATGACTGTGTGATACTCAGCTCCTTCTAGACATTTACTGGTGTGGTTACAAACATGGTGAAGGCAAGAGAATGGTCCAGGAAGACAAGAGAAGAGGTGATTTCTCTTCACAGGAAGGGCAATGGCTATAAGAAGATTGCAAAATGTTAAACATACCAAGAGACACCTTAGGAAGCATCATTCGCAAATTCAAGGCAAAGGGCACTGTTGAAACGCTACCTGGTCGTGGCAGAAAGAAGATGCTGACTTCGACTGCTGTGCGCTACCTGAAGCGTAGAGTGGAGAGAAGTCCCCGTGTGACTGCTGAGGAACTGAGAAAAGATTTGTCAGATGTGGGTACAGAAGTTTCAGCCCAGACAATAAGACGCACACTGCGTAATGAAGGCCTCCGTGCCAGAACTCCCAGGCGTACCCCCTTGCTGTCTCCAAAGAATAAGAAGAGTCGACTGCAGTATGCCAAAAGCCATGTGGACAAACCACAAAAGTTGTGGGATAGTGTTCTGTGGACTGATGAAACAAAATTAGAACTGTTTGGGCCCATGGATCAACGCTATGTTTGGAGGAGGAAGAACAAGGCCTATGATGAAAAGAACACCTTGCCTACTGTGAAGCATGGTGGAGGGTCAATCATGCTTTGGGGCTGTTTTTGCTTCTGCAGGTACAGGGAAGCTTCAGCGTGTGCAAGGTACCATGAATTCTCTTCAGTACCAGGAGATATTGGATGGAAACGTGATGCAGTCCGTCACACACCTGAGGCTTGGGAGACGTTGGACCTTTCATGGCAACAGGACAATGATCCCAAGCATACCTCCAAGTCCACTAGAGCATGGTTGCAGAGGAAAGGCTGGAACAATTTTGGAGTGGCCATCGCAGTCACCAGACTTAAATCCGATTGAGAACCTCTGGTGGGACTTAAAGAAAGCAGTTGCAGTGCGCAAGCCTAAGAATGTGACTGAACTGGAGGCCTTTGCCCATGAAGAATGGGCGAAGATACCCGTAGATCGCTGCAAGACACTTGTGTCAAGCTATGCTTCACGTTTAAAAGCTGTTATAACTGTAAAAGGATGCTGTACTAAGTACTAAGATTGAATGTCACTTGGGGGTTGAATAAAACTGATAATGCTGTGAGCACAGAAAAGACATTTGTGGTTATTTCATTATAACTGTTATGTTATATTTGTCTGACCTACAAGTGCCTCTTTAATGTAAATGTAAGCAAGATGATGACTCTGAATGATCAAAAGCAATGTCAAACTGGCCAAAACACTCAATTTCAGTGGGGGTTGAATAATTTTGGCCACAACTGTATTTACAAAATTGTTAAACCTGAACTTCACAAACGTATATACTGTAAATACATAGGTGAAATACATGTACTTTTGATGTAAATAATAAAGTACTTTAACTGGATGAGTGTAGAGTCCATCATGCTTTACAGGCTGGACCAACCTGTAAATCATGGCACAGGAGTGTAAAATCACAAGACTAGCTGCACAGAATTAAAACTCCTTTGGCAGGTAAAACAGTAACATTTATAGGTATGTATTTGACTGCCTATTTAGCAGTTTTTTGAGGCTCGACTTTAACCACATGAGCTCTGTAAGGTTTTACCCCCTTCATGACTAGGGCATCTTTTGTTATTCGACACTGCACTTCTTTAACTGGCAATTGTGCAGTCATGCAACACTGTACGCAAGTTAAATTTATATCTTTTTTAACACAAATAGAGCTTTCTTTTGGTGGCATTTGACCACCACTGTTCTTTTTTATTTTTTTATTATAGAAATGAAAAAGACTGAACAGTTTGAAAAAATGTTATGTTCTACTTTCTGTTATAAGATATATCCAATAAAAAAAAAAAATCAAATTTAGGCCAAATTATATTCTGCTACATGTTCTTTTTTTTTATTTAAATTCCAATACGTGTATATTAATTGGTTTGTGCAAAAGATTAAGCATCTACAAACTATGGTATATATACTGGCATTTAGGCAGCTATGATGCTATACTGGTAATGGCAGTGATCTGTGACTTATAGTGGAACTATGATAGTGTGGTGGGAAATCTGGAACTAGCTGACAATGGCTGGGAGGAATGCTAACTGACTGACATCAATAGTGACACTAATACAGTGATCATTGCTAATACTATACTCTGTCACTGTACTAATGACACTGGCTGGGAAGGGGTTAACATCTAGGGGCGATCAGAAGGTTAACTATGCATCTAACAATGTGTAATATGTGCTGCTTTTATTAAGAGATGTGATTTGTTTTTTCCTCCCTGCTTTGCGAGGAAAAAAAAACCCAGCCACATTGATTTTTCTCTGTACGAAGCCCTGTGTTGTTAGTAAACACACAGGGCTCTATACTGTGATTTGCTAAGGTGGTCAGCAGGTGCAGGTCATCAATCATTGGCTGTTACCTGCTGACTGACTCGTTCTGTACCAAATGTATGTGAGCCAACGCAGCGGGGCAGACCGCCCGCAATATATATACTGCGGGCGCTCTTTGAGTAGGTATAGGAAATATGTCACAATGAAAAAACACATTTCTGGTGGAACAGCCTAGTACACCTCTGATTTTCCTGAGGCATAATAGTCCCAAAGCAGCAACGTCACAGGCAGCGAAGCAAAAAAGGCTTATATGAAACTTTTTTTTTTTTTTGAAGAATTCTAGTAATAAGAAAAACATCATCTTAAAGCGATTCTAAAGGTTCGTTTTTTTTTTTAAAATAGCAAACATGTCCATACTTACCTACTGTGGGCAGTGGATTTGCAGAGAGCAGCCTGGATCCTCCTCTTCTCAAGTCCCCCGCAGGCTCTCCTGGCCCCTCCCTTCTGTTGGGTGCCCCCACTGCAAGCAGTTTGCTATGGAGGCACCCACTGCTCTGTGTGTCCATTCACATGCAGAGCCATGGCTTAGCCCCACCCCCCTCCCTCCTCATTGGCTGACTGGCTTGCTGTCTCAGCCAATGAGGAGGCAGAGATCCGGGACAGCAGAGACTGTTGTTGACATCGCTGGATCATGAAGAGGCTCAGGTAGGTATTGAGGTGGCTGGGGGGATGCTGCACACAGAAGGTTTTTTACTTTCATGCATAGAATGCAAGAAGGTAAAAAACCTTGAGCCTTTATAACCACTTTAAGTTTATGGACATGTAATATATGCAAAATAGTAAATAGCAGTACAGTTTAATGTGTGAAGAAAATAGTTACTATGAGTTGAGTCACTTATATATATAGTCTATTGTTTGTTTAGCTACAGTAGTGAGGGTTTAGATGAATGATTCCCAAAGAATATTTGAACTTCTTTTTTTTTTTTTTTGTAAAGAGGGCTCTACTTGCTCCATGCAGAACTCAAAAGTTCAGTTTTCTAAACAACAATAAACAGTCACAGACAGGTATTTAGCATAGCTCCATTTTTGTAAAATTGGGCTAAATAGGTTTAGATGTACTGCCACAGAACTAGTAAATGGCTCTCCAGGAACAATTATTTCCAGCAAAGGCTACAGGTATGTTGCTTAGTGCCAGATTTTCTTTAAAGGATAAGTTCACCTATGGTAACATGTTACATGTAGCATGTTCCCACTTCTGCTGCCAGTTCCTGACCCACCACCACCTCTAGTGACAGCAAGTTGGGGATCTTCTCCCCTAACGTGCTGTCATACTTTTTAAAAAAAACACAGCTTTGCAGGGCTCTGCCCACCTGCTGCTGCATCATTCATTCTTGGAGTTCTGTGAATGGGAGACCTTTGCCACTGTTGGCTTGTATTTCTCAATGAACTACCCGGGCATTCTAGGCAGTTCACTGCCGGAGCATTCTAGGTAGTTCACTGTTTCTTCCTGTCACTGTGTTACTGCCTGCTCGTATGAGGTATGAGCAGACCATTTACACAGACACCCACCACCGATCTGCTAATGGCGGGTGAAATGCTTTGAAGGCTCCTAGTAAACAAAATATAATACATGCACATTTGT